TATCGTTTTTCTAATTTCTTCTCTAGCCGAGTGTGAGAGATTACCTTTTGATTTTTTATTCTTTCTTTCCTACATACCCATTTTATTTAGAGAGATAGAATTCTTGTCATGATGCATGAACTAATGTTGTAACTAGACAAGTCATTTCCCATACAGGATCAGGATTCCTTTTTTTTGCTCTATCATTCCCCAACTTTTTTGAATTCAAACTCTTTTGTTTTGATCCATGTTCTCATCTTACCTGATAAAAAATATATTCAAGTCCAGATGCGTGTCATTTGAATCCTCCCTTCCACTTTCTTTATCATTATTCCACCCGAATACAATCTAAATAAGCAAATTAATTAGGGTGAATTATTGCATATACATAGAAATATCATTATTTGATTGATCTAAGTTCATGCAATTTATTATTTATTAATATTTTCTTTTGGTCAATTGTTGAATAAAATCAACTGAAAGTAGAATAGTTTCTCGTGTTTTTTATTTAATTACACGTGATAAACATATATCTTATTCCAATTTTGATTTGAATAACAAGATTGGCTGACCAATAGAAAGCGTGATTTTTTGTTGCCGTGGAATAAAAAAGAAGTCTGGCTGCTATTAACATAGGAACTGGACGGATCTATCCTTCAAGTCGCACGTTACTTTCTACCACATCGTTTCAAACGAAGTTTTGGTTGAATCAAAATAATTTTGTTTAAATTCGATTTTTTTTTTTTCAGAGGACATGCTCCTAAAAAGGGGACATGAAGGGTAACTTGAACATTTTCCACCAAAAAAGTGACATTTTTGATAAGATTGGGTGCATATGCAAATTTTTTGTGCATTTTACAAAAAAAAGTGACATTTTTTATAATTTCCCAAACTCCTTCAACTAGTTTACCGGCCTTTCTCATCTGACCCCACAAGATTTGTCTCATTCTTTACTACTTGTGCCAAAGAAGGGTAAAGGAAGATTGGTGCAATGGTTAGAATTACTGACTTAGAGAATGATTTTTAACTGTAGTCAGATATTTATTTTTATATATTAATTAATGGGTATTCATACATTTATAAAGAAAATATATCCACTGTCCTGAAAGTCCTCAAAGAGCTTATAAGAAATGAAATGACTACAAGGAGCACTATCAAAATATTTATAAATATATCGGCAACATGAATATTTTTCCAACTAGAAAATCAGAAAGCGCGCACATGTAAAAAAAAGGACTAAGACCTTACAAATTGCATAAATCACTTCCCTATCGAGGTAATAGCATAAAGGGAGAACAATACAACTCAACAATTAACTCTATATGAAAATTTGATGTGTCTAAATCCACATCACCCCAAATCTCGAATTTTATGGGTGGAGATAGATCTACATTAATCAAAATTATGTTGCACCATGAATAACTGAAACCTACAACTAAATTTGAAGAACTAAAAAACTGAAACAAGAAAGCTTGTTCTCTGAATTGAACTATATATATGTTACAAAATCCTATTTCAAAGATTTATGAACCCACCATCTAACTCAGAGTGCGCTGTGGGCTGGAATAACTTCATGAACAGCCTTGCAATGTCGTACTGCAAGAAAGATACCTAACACCGGTATACCTTTTCAACTTGGCAACAGCTTCTTGTGCCTTCCCGAGCTTAAGATCCAGATAAATTGCGGTAAGAATAGCCTGTTTACAGCTAGGTATTATGGATAGTGCTTTTACCACAAATTGGTAGGCCCTTTCGATGTCTCCCAGCAATGCATAGTTGGCAGCATAGTTTGCGTACAGAATTCCCTGAGCCTCTATAGGTGTGGAGAAAAATGGTACTTGCAATTCATCCAGTGGCGAGGCACCATTTGACTCTTCACTATCCATCACTTTTTCTACTCTCCACTTTTCGCAATCCTCTTGGCTGTATGGGAGCTCCACAGAGTTGTTACCAGACAAATACATGATCAAATGCTCAGCAGCTTCCTTAGGCTGGTTAAGTAGGCATAAAGCCTCAGCTGCATACACTCTTCCAAGAAACGTGTATATTCTTGAGCAATGGGGCAGTTTTAGGAGAGATCTTGCTATTGTTAAGGCCTTCAGGGGATTTCCCATCGCCAGCTCTACATATGCCAAATCAGCAAATACTGCTTGCTTTATCATATCATTCTCCTTTGCACAAAATTCTTCATAGTCAGAAACGAAGTTCTGTAACTGTGTATTCTGACTGCTTCCACCTTTTTGCTCTTTCATTTCACCATTTGCATCAATCTGACTTGAGTCAGATGCTACATCAGATGTCATGGGATCACCACTAGCTATATTCTTGTGGTTTGTGCCAGGAGAAAATGGTGTTTCTCTTGATTCACTCTCCTCAAAACCAGGCCTAGAAAAATTTTCTTCAGAACAGTTCATTAAATGCAAAGCATTGACAAGACACTGTCGGGCAAGAGAAATCGAGAGATCAGACATTTTGCTGTTCCCAGAAAACAAATCTTCCTTTCGAACAGTTACCTGCTCATCATTGGTCAGGATTCCATTTTTCACTGCAAGTTGCCTCCATTTTCCCTTTCCAATAACATTAACCCTGATATCAGGTCTATCAGATGTGGAGGATATGGATTGGATTAGTCCCTTTTCTAGTGCCATTATACAACACTCAGCAATTCGTAGCCATAAAACAGGTCTGTTGTTAAAAATTAGACTGGCCTGCTTGAAGCATCGAGCAGCATGGAAAGGTTTCCCACAAGTCAACTGATGCACACCACAATTATATGTTATAAAAAGGGATTTATCCTGTGAAAAAGTCATGAGCTTCAGAGGTTTTTCCTTCCGTATGAGTGAGCTGCTATTTAGTGCTTTAGAAAAGAATACACCTGAAGTGTGATGCTTCCCAAGTCGGTAATATATGCAACCGATATTGTTGTAGTACATGCTAGAAATTCCTGTTTCCGTGCGGCTACTAGATGCCATCAAAAGCTTAATTGCTTTGCTATGGTTCCCTCGAGCATATTCAAGCTGTGACTTCAAATAGAGAGCCGTGGTGTAATCTTCGCCACGAGCAATGTTCATAGCCAACTTAACTTCACGCTTGGCAGCCTTAAGATTCCTGATGAGTAGCAAAAACCGAACCTTGTAAAAATGCAGCTTAAGCCTCAGATCAATGGCTGATAGGGGCCCCTCAGCTTGTGTCCTGAGAAGATCATTATAATATGGGAGGCCAGGCCTCCGAAGGTTCTGTCCACCAATATCAAGAGAAGATAATAACTGCAATGATTCTTCTTCAAGTGCTTCGTCTGATACAGTTCTAGATAAAGAATTTTCTAAAGTATTTGCATCACTAACACAGTCAGAAGTACAAGAATCAAGAATTGTCGAATTGTTGGGAAGCGAAGTAGATTTTGATACTAGTGTTGGTTGCTGCTGTGCTGGGTTTCCGTTATCCACTTGACTGATCAAGCTATTGACACCAAAAGCCTTCTCCATGTAGCTTATCACATCCTGGATATTATAATTTCCAATTTACTAGTGTCTTAGAAACACGAGCAATAGTAATAAAAAATGTAGAATAAAAATACAAACTCCAAAACTAGATATAACTTAATATGATAACACACTAACACGTGTAACGTAACAGGAGGAAAAACAACAAACAAGAATTAGAAACGCAACGAATTAGCTGAGGTTAGTAACAAGTCCTCTCAATTCACATCCAACTTATCTTCAATAAAACAGTAATGTCTAACAGAGCTAACAGCTAAAACTCTGTGATAGTTTAAAAATATACAACAGAGCACATGTGAATTCAAACTCTAAAGAGAAACTAACATGGACAGTCCATAAAATTAACCACATTTTTTTGTATATTTTATCTGCCAAACGTTGAGGTCATCTTATTGGCAGAACCAAAAAAACGATAGCTAGCCTAGCTTCCCATGTAAAAGCCTTAGCCTAGGAGCACAAAGTGGCTCAACCTCAGCGACACATTGGAATTACCTAAAAGTATTGGTAATGAATAGTCCCCAGTTCAATACATCTTTTTAAACAAAACTCTGTAAGTAGCAAAACATTCTACTTGTGTAGTTCACTGAAAATACAAGCATGTGCATCATTCAAATAAAAAACATGCTATGTTGTCCTCCAGAAAATAAACAAAACAAAGGAGGGGACTAGGAGAGCAGATTTTCATGCAACGAGTAGAAGACCGTTGTCAGCTGATCCCCCCAAGTCCCCACTAGTAATACAAACATGTTTATGCTAGTAGGGTTCAGTGGACAACACTAGGCTTTTAAAAACTATTTTTAGATAATATTATAATTGAGCCCCCTAACTGTTCACCCTACTGTGAGAAATTCTCTGTCAGCTGCATATATAGAATACTATTTGGAATTCTTTTCTGGAATAAAAAAAGTTATGACAGGAAAAATAGTACAAGTCATTGCACACAAATTTTTGGGCAACTATTTGGCTCTGTTTCAAAGAAAGTGCGGAAGTCGTGAAAAATAAAACCAATCGAAAGAGAAACTACCAGTGTCTTTGTAAGTCAGATAAGGTTATTCGGTCCCATAACAAATAACCAAGGTCACTGATCTTAAACAATCAAGCATTTTCCTCGAGTAATAGGATATGAAGTGACAGATATTTAAAAAGCTCATTCCTTGTACTCTTCAAGTACTATAAACCGAATAAGCAAAATGCTCTCTAAGGTATTAGTGAAGAATGAAAGGTCTCAAAATTTTGAAACAACCAATAATAGTTAAAAGTACAAAGTGCAGCAGAACAAAGTGCAGTTAAGAACACCGCAAGGACTAGTTTAGAGTCAACGCACAAAAATTGGAAGGGGGGGGGGGGGGGGGGCAAAAAAAAAAAAAAAAAAAAGAGGCACGAGGCACCAAAAAGTAAATGCACACATCTGCATTTTATTAAATGCCCTGCTTTTTAAGTCCTTTGTCATCTAATTATTTAATTTTGGAATGTAATATTGAACTATAAATTTTTAAGGCTGGGAAAATTAATTATTTCCATGAATGTGCCAAATCATTTTTACTGACATCACATCAAGTGATATTTTGCTCAAATTAATGATGAATTTAAGTGGTGCTCACAGAAATATAATGAAAATGTTGCAATTTCGAAGTTCGCAGAAATCATTAGGTATCTATGGAAGCTTCAGAGATTCCATGAAGAGCATGGCATGTTCTGAGCTTCATATAAAAGCTCAAGGAATCCCAGCCCCTATTGATCTTGTGATTCCAGTCTCTATACGAAAACCAATATTGCTCCTTGTCAAGGACACA